AACCAATGGTACTGAAGGAAGACATCCAAGCTGCACTGAAGGCATTGGAAAAAAGCAAGGCTCCAGGTATAGACAGAATACAAATTGAAATATTTCAACAAACTGATATAGAACTGATGCACTCTATCATCTATGTCAAGAAATCTGGAAAAGACCCGTATTGGATAAGACCCATATTTGTGCCCATTCCAAAGAAAGATGACCCAATGGAATGTCAAAGTCATAAAACAATATCATTAATATCACATACAAGTAAAACTTTGCTGCAGATAATTAAAAAATGTTTGCAGCAGTACATTGATGGACAGGAAGCTGCCAGAAATTCAAGGCAGATTCAGAAGAAGATGTGGACTAAAGAAAATCATTGCTGAACTCATATGGATCTTGACTGAAATCAGCGAATACCAGAAAGATATTTACATGTGCTCTATTGACTATGCTTTAAATACTTCAGTTTGCTTGGATCCACAATTAATGCTCATGGAAGCAGAGGTTAAGAAATGAAATGTTATATTGCATTAGGTATATCTGTTGTACAAGGCCTCTTTAAAGTATTCAAGAGCAAATAGGTCAATTTGAGGACTAAGATGTGCTTGATCCAACCATGGTATTTTCAGTCACCTCATATGCACATGAAAGTTGAACAATGAAAAAGGAAAACTGGAGAAAAATAAAGCATTTGATTTATGGTGTTGGTGAAGATTATTGAAAGTACCATGGACTGCCAAAAGAATAAACAAATGTGTCATGGAAGAAGTACAGCCAGAATGTCCCTTAGAATCGAGGATAGGGAGACTACATCTCCAGTACTTTGGACGTATTATCAGGAGGGACCTGTGCCTGGAGAAAGACTTCATGCTTGGAAATGTGGAGTGTCAGTGAAAAGGAAGAGCCTCAAGAAGGTGGATTGACACAGTGGCAGCAGCAATGAGTTCAAACATAACAACAATTGTAAGGATGACGAAGGACCCAGTAGAGTTATGTTCTATTGTGCGTAGGGTGTCTATGAATTACAACTAAATTTGTGGACACCTAACAACAATAACAACTTCTGTTTTTAATCACTTTTTTTTTTTTTTTTTTACGTTTTGACTTCCCCTGTTGGTATTATTACCTTCGTTCACCTTCAGGTGAATACATGGAGGGAGATTCACAAAAGGCTATGCACATATGGTGCCTAACTACCACTACCTACTATTATGAAAGGGATCACATTAGAAGGCCCTAGATAGAGTGGGAGAAAATGTGGAACGAAACTCAAAATAAAATTAAATTAAAATAATAATAAACCAGGCTTACTGATCAGAAAAGAACCAAAGAAACTGGAGATCTTGGCCCTCCATCACCCTTGAGGTCTGGAACTGAACTCACCCTTGTGGCTCAATTTTCAGCTAAGCAGTAGATAGGTATATAGAGGTGACAGCAACATTACTTACATATGCACACCATTGAATGGCCAAACATTCAAAATCAAAAGGGCAACATTTACCTAAGGACAAAATTTAGAAGGGTTGGAAAAGACAGTGGAAAGAAAAGAATCAAAGAGCAGAAGTGGGACAAGTGATGTTACATTGAAGGGACTGCAATCACTGAAATAAAACAAAGTACATCATTTGCTGGATATAAGACTGATGATCTGCTCTGTAAACCTTCACTCATTCACAGTACAAAGGTAAAAAAAAAAATAGCCAAGTGCCCAAATTCACACAACTCATAAATGGAGAAATTAGGATTCAAACCATGTTTGTTTAATTCAAATTTTATTGGTGCAGTTTCTCATGCCTTTTTTCATGTAGAGCATGGAAATTAATATAGTTAATTCTCACATCTCACATTTGTTGTTAATTTTCACAACTTCATGTAAATAGAAAGAAAATGGCACCTAATTTTAAAATACCTATATATGAACACTTCAGCAGATTTTTTTTTTTTTTTTTTTTTACATCTTTTATTCTGGTTCATTGGAGTCCTGGTGTGGTGCTACAGGATAATGTGCTAGACCGCAAGGCCAGTTTGAACTTAATCTTTTCTCTGTTCTTGATAAGAATGTTGTTTATTGGTCCAGTGGTGAGGATTTTTGTTTTCTTTACATTGAGATGTACTCCTTACCAAAGGCTGTGTTCTTTGATCTTCATCAGTAAATGTCTTAAGTCCTCTTCTCTTTCAGCAAACAAGATTGTATCATCTGCATATCATAGGTTTTTAATGAGTCTTCCTCCAGTCCTGATGCCACATTTTTCTTGATAAAACCAGCTTCTCTGATTATTTGCTCAGCATACAGGTTGGATAAGTATGGTGAAAGAATACAACCTTGTCGCACACTTTTTTAAATTTTAAACCATTCAGTGTTCCCATGTTCTGTTTGAACAAACTGCTTCTTGGTCCAGGTACAGATTCCTCATGAGCACAATTAAATGTTCCGGAATACTCATACTTCGCAATGTTGTACCTAGATTGTCATAAGCCACACGATCAAAAGTCTTTACATAGTCAATAAAGCACAGGTAAACATCTTTCTGATATTCTCTGCTTTCAGCCAAGATCCATCGATGTCGGCAATATTATCTTTTGTTCCACAGCCTCTTCTGAATCTGGTTGAACCTCTGGAAGTTCTCTGTCATTGTATGCTTGCAGCCATTTCTGTATTACCTGTAGCAAAACTTTACTCGCATGGGATATCAAAGAGATTGTTTGATGATTTCCGCATTCCAGTGGGTCACCTCTGGGCACAAATACAGATTTCTTCCAATCAGTGGGCTAGATAGTTGTCTTTTAAATTTCTTGCATACATGAGTGAGTGGCCTCCTGTGCTGCCTCACATTCTTGAAAGATTTCAATTTTTATTCCATCAATTCCTGGTGTCTTATTCTTTGCCAATTCCTTCAATGCACCTTGGACTTCCTCCTTCAGTATTATTGACTCTTGATCATATGCTATCTCTTGAAACGTTTGAACATTAACCATTTCCTTTTGGTACAGTGACTGTGTATTCCTTCCATCTGCTCTTGATACTTTCTGCATTATTCAATAATTTGCCCAGGGAATCTTTCAATAATGAAAATCGAGGCTTGAATTTTTTTCTTCGGTTTTCCCAGCTTGAGAAATGCTGAGCGTGTTCTTCCTTTTTGGTTTTCTGATTCCAAATCTTTGCACATTTTGTTGTAATATTTGAGTTTATCTTTTCAAGCTGATCTTTGAAATTTTCTGTTCAGCTGTTGGACTCCCTCATTTCTTCCATTTTCTTTAGCATCTCTATACTAGAGAGCAAGTTTCAGTGTCTGTTCTGACATCCATTTTGACCTTTTCCTTCTTTCTTGTCTTCTCAATGACTTATTGCTTTTTTCATGTATGATGTTTTTGATGTCATCCCACAACTATTCTGGTCTTCAGTCTTTAGTGTGTAATGTATCAAATCTGTTCTTCAGATGATCTCTAAATTCAGGTGGGATATATTCAAGGTCATATTTTGGCTCTAGAGGATTTGTTTTCATTTTCTTCAGTTTCAGTTTGAATTTGCACATGAGTAATTGATGGTCTGTTCCAAGGTCTGCCCCTGGCCTTGTTTTGAATGATGATATGGAGCTTTTCCATCATCTCTTTCTGCAGATGTAGTCAAATTGAGTTCTATGTATTTCATTTGGTGAGGTCCATGTGTATAGTCATCTCTTACGCTATCTAAAAAAGGTATTTGAAATGAACAAATCATTGATTTTTCTGAATTCTATCATGCTTCCCCCAGCATCATTTCTATCACCAAGGCCATATTTTCCAACTACTGATCCTTCCTCTTTGCTCCCAACCTTTGCATTCCAATCACCAGTAATGATCAATACATCTTGTTTGCATGTGTGATCAATTTCAGATTGAAGAAGTTGGTAGAATTATTCTATCTCATCCTCACTGACTTTAGTGGTTGGTGCATAAATTTGAATAATTGTGGTATTAACTGGGCTTCTTTGTAGGCGCATGGATATTACCCTATCACTTACAGTGTTGTACCTCATGATTGATCTGGATATGTTCATTTTGACAATGACTGCAACACCATTCCTCTTCAGTTTGTCATTTTCAGCATAGTAAACCATGTGGTTTTCAGATTCAAAATGGCCAATAACAGTCCATTTCAGCTCACCAGTGTCTAAGATATCAGTGTTTATGTGTTCCATTTCATTTTGACAACTTTCAATTTTCCCAAATTCATCGATCGTACATTCCATATTCTAATTTTCAATGGATATTTGCAGCTGTTTCTCTTCATTTTGAGTTGTGCCCAAACAGCAAATGAAGGTTCTGCAGACTTTTCTTCCACGGGCTTTAGTACATTTGCATCATCACAAGCAACTTTACTTTGAGGAGGCAGCTCTTCCCCAGTCTCATTTTGAGTGTCTTCCAACCTGAGGGGCTCATTATCCAGCACTATGTCTGATAGTGTTTCTCTGCTATTCATAGTTTTCCAGTGACTAAATATTTGGAAGTAGTTCGTCACTCTTTCTTCCTAGTTTGTCTTCATCTGGAAGCTCATCTGAAACCTGTCCATCTTGGGTGACCCTGCTGGTATTTAAAATACCGGTGGTATACCTTTCAGAATCACAGTAACTCACAAGCCACCACAGTATGAAAAACTGACAGACAAGTGGATAATAATATTTACTTTCCAGGAGTTTTATACTATTTGCATGAAGTGATATGTTAAAACATGTCTAGTTATTGCTACTCAATAATTGTTTCTTTCCTTTCCATATCCCCATGCAACAAATGATGAAACTGATGGTTGAAGGATTAAGTACTCTGCCCAGCCAGCATGTTTACTCACCTGAAATTTTGTATCATGTTTCTTTGAATCCAGATCATATCACAACTAGAAATGCAAATGTCATGTGGTACTATCCTCAATTCACAATCCATCAAAGGAAAGATTATTTTTATATTTTCTAGAAGTCAAAAGACTTTTTCTTTAAAAATTCACTTGTAATAATATTTCTGCATGTTCTTTTTCATAGACATTACATATAACATCACTCTTGATGCAGATGGATTTTCATCCAGAGTAACCTCCAGGGGATTATTTAAGGACAATAATGAAAGAATCCTGCAGAAGAATATGTTAGTAAATCAAGCACAGGATTGCTCTGAGCACGTGATCCTTGTCCAGGTGAGGTCTCAGAATCATTCCTGTTCACCTCGTTTCTTCTTTTTTACAGAATAATGAATAGTGAAAAGAAAAAAAAAAAGAAAGTTTATGGGTTAGATACTACTTGCCTCTTTGGTTAATTCTAATTAATGCCATTCTTGAATACTTTCAAGAACAGGAAGTATATTTCCTTTGTTATTGTTTCTAATCAACTTCTATTATCATAGAATTGAAAACATAGAATTTTATTTGGAATGGCAATTAAAAGCACTAAAAATTAAGATTCTTATGGATGTGAAAGAGTTCTTTTGAATAACAATATATTTTGTTTTTATATTTCCCACCCAGGAAAAATTTTTATTCATTTTTAAGCTATTGAAAAGGGCAATCCCAATGGTGATTTTCACTATTGGATGTAAGGTGGTATAGGTCAAGGGAAGGAGCTCTGTCTGGTAGCGTAGTGGTTATGAATCGGGCTGCAAACTGCAAGGTCAGCAGTTTGAAACCACCAGCTGTTCCACGGGAGAAAGATGAGGCTTTCTGCTCCCATAAAGATTTGCAGGGTCACTATGAGTCGGAACCGACTCCACGGCACATAACCACCACCACCACCATAGGTCAATCGAGGGAGTTCTGGTGTGACACTGTGGGTTAATGCGCTAGACTACAAAGTCGGTTTGAACCACAAGGTCAGTGGTTCAAGCTCACTAGCTGCTCCCCAGAAACGCTACACAGGGTCACTATAGGTCGGAACCAACTTGATGGCACTTAACAAAACAACAACAGGTCAATGGATTCCTGCTGTGGTGCTGTTGGATCAGTACTGGACTGCGAACCTCAAGGTTTGAAGTTCAAATTCACCAGCTGCTCCATGGAAACCCTTTACAGGGTCACTATGAGTCAGAACTGACTCGTTGGCACTTAACAACAACAATAACAAGGGGAAGGGTGTTCTGGTGTGGCGCTGTAGGATAAAGCACTCGACTACAAGGTTATCTTGAACCAAAAGGTTGATGGTTTAAACCCAATAGCTACTCCTAGGAAGTCCTATACAGTGTCCCTATGAGTCAGAATCTACTCAATGGCACTTAACAAAAACAGGTGAAGGGCAGTGGATTATGAGATAGAAATTGTTTATTCTCATTTTATGACATAATTATCATAATTCAAATGATGCTTAAACTTTCCCAATTATAAATAATGGTTTTCAGAAAAAAATTTACAACAGGAAATTTAGTTTGTAAATTATATGAAAATTTCTCTGTATAATGGAATTTTGAAATGTAATTTAAATGATCAGTTTAAGTACTCACCTAGAATATTTAATGTCTTGGTTCTCAGAGATTAAAGTGCATAAAAGTTGTCAAACTTTAATCAAATACACATTCTGGGCCCCCAACACTAGACATCTGCATTAGAAAGTCAGGGTGACACCAAGATAAATGCATGTTTATGAAGCACATTCAAAACATTCCAATGAAGACTTATACAGAAATCACATTTTTAAAATGCTAATTATAAAAGTTGGAAAAACATTAAGTAAATGTCTAGATTAATAAAAACCAGTTCAGTTTTTCATTTATTGTTAACTTGGAAGATTCTTGTTTGTGAAAACCTGGTCTATTTTTGCTGTGATTAAGTGCTAACAATAGGGCACTTAACAACAATAACAACATACAGTTTTAAAAGCAGTGAAGCTTCTCTTCTGCCCTTGATAATTCAAGACATGGATGTTCTATTTAATGGACACTCGACTATAAACACATTTATGGTCATTTTCTTATTTTAAATTTGCCGTGCCCTAATAAAATGACTCTGTTGTGTGTGTGTGTGTTTTAGGAGCCCTCTGATGTTGTTAACCCTTTGGATCTGCGTGTGAACATCAGTCTGGAGAACCCTGGCTCGAGTCCTGCTCTTGAAGCCTATTCTGAGATGGCCAAGGTCTTCAGTGTAAGGATAGTATGCCTTTCCGGATTTTAGACTGGCTAACAAAGTGGAAAGATGCTTAGGACAGAGCCCTTCAATTCTTAGTTGTTTAAATTAAATATAATCACATACGTTAAAGGTTCATTAGAATGTAAGTTCCATGAAGGCAAGCATTTTTATCTTTCTTGTTCACTGTTAGGATCTGAATCCCTGGAACAGTGCCTCATCCACCCTACGTGTTTGTGAACTAGTCATTGAATAAATCTTGCTAGGTGCTCATAGCGAGCCTGTGTACAACAGAACAAAACACTGCCCGGTCATGTGCCTTCCTCACAGTTTCTTCTACTCTTGAGCCCACTGCTGCTGCTACTGTGCCAATCCATCTTGTTGGGGGTCTCCCTCTTTTTCACTGTCCCTCCACTTTACCAATAATGATGTTCTTCTCCAGGGATGAAGTCTGGCCATCTTGGCTTCGAATTATTGAATAAATAAATTGTGATATAGTAAACACCTTGTACTTTCACCATCCACTTAAAACATGACCAGTGCCTATGTACCCTGTACTGCCACTGTATTTACTTCACACTCTGTATCCCACACCCAAGGAAAAAGCACTATCACATCTTACATTTATCAGTCTCCTGCTTTTCTGGATGGCTTTGATACTTTATTTAAATGGACAAATACTGCCTATCTTCTTCTGCAACTAGTCTTTTGTACCAAACAGCTAATGTCTGGTTCTTGGGTTTTTCTGATTTTTTTGTTTGTTTGTTTTGCTCTTTTGCAGATTCCTTTCCATAAAGATTGTGGTGATGATGGACTTTGCATCTCTGATCTAGTTCTAAATGTTCAACAGCACCCAGCTCATCAGTGAGTGTCATTTTTCAGCTTAGTGGCTAGTGTAGAAACAAAAGACACACTAGATTACTTGATTTGAATGAATCTTTATGGAGCTCTTTTCTACAAAAGAATCATTGAGAACTAGTAAAGATCTTTATAAATTGAATTTCAATCTGTGGCATAAAGCACTAGACAGCAAGGTACATTTGAACTACAAGGTCGGCGATTTAAACTCACCAGGGACCAGGGACTCCTTGGAACCCCTGTACAGGGTCGTTATGAGTTGAAACTGACTAGATGGCACTTAACAACAACAAACACCACCACCATCCATGTAGGAGCAAAGCAATACGAAATATAAAACCATTGGGACTTGGGTGGTTCTTTTTCACTGCAATGTAATGAAAAGTAACAAGGAAAAAAATTAGTAACATTTACCTATTCATTGTCAATAGACTTTTAATATGAAGGCAGTTCATTATTAAGCAATTCTGTGTATCAAGTAATTCTAAAGAGTTCCTTTAAGTCAGTGAAGTTTTTGAATATTGATTGGTCTTTTCTAATCTTTTTCTTCTTGTGTGCTATTGAGTCAGTTCTGAGTCATACTGACCCCACATATGGCTTCTGAGCCTGTAAATCTTTACGGCAACAAAAACGTCTCAACTTCTCCTATGGGGCAGCTGGTGGATTTGAGCTGCTTACTCTGGTAGCGTAGTGGTTATGAATCGGGCTGTGAACCGCAAGGTCAGCAGTTCGAAACTACCAGCAGTTCCACGGGAGAAAGATGAGGCTTTCTGCTCCCGTCAAGATTTACAGCCTCAGAAACCCTGTACAGTATTGCTATGAGTCAGAATCAACTCCATGGCACATAACCACCAACCACCACCACCTTGCGGTTAGCAGCCCAATATGTAATCCACTATGCCTCTAAGGTTCCTCTTTCTAATCTTAATGTGCTGTTTTTTGTTTTCCTTTTTATTTTTAACAGAAAACAACCCTTTATTGTCAGCAATCAAAACAAACGATTAAAATTTTCAGTAACACTTAAAAACAAAAAGGAAAGTGCATACAACACAAGAATTGTTGCTGCTTTTTCAGAAAACTTGTTTTTTGCTTCATCCTCCATGCCGGTATGTCCTTACCTTCATTGTGTTTCCTGCTTATTATCAATTACTGTCTTTCTTGCACAGACATTCCTTGGAGTACAAAGGGGATCTGTCCCTAACTGTATCTGTAAGAATTTGTATGTCAGTCAGAATTGGGACTACGATACTTATTTAGCCTTACTTTAATGCAAGAAAAGGCTCAAAGCCTTTCAGATGATTTAAAAGCTTCACTGGTAGCAAGTGCAGGTGATTGTGATGAAGAATTTGTTGCCCGTAGATCTTGGTTCTTGCTGTGGTGTTGTAGGATACACTGGAACACAAGGTCAGCACTTCAAATCCCCCAGCTGCTCCTTGGAAACCCATACAGGATCCCTATGAGCCGGAGCCCACTCGATGGCATTTAACAACAACAGGGCTTGGCTCAGTAGTTTCAAAGTGAGGGCCAATTTACATAACACTAAAGGGCAAATAGGAATTGTCCATAACTCAGACTCTGTAACCCAGGCACTGCCTGTATTCAAATCTCCATGTCTTCTGCATCATCTGAATGACCTTGGCATTCATCCTCATCAGCTCTCACTTTATGGCTTCCAACAAGGTAAATAAACCACATGAGAACACATCCTGGCTCTATATCTAGACAAGTTCTGCTTCATAGTATGGGTCAGTTTTTCCTTTACCCTGAGACTTGGCTGCGGTCACCAGACACTCCTGTAGCCCTCCTCATTCCATCTGTGCGCTGTAGCTGCTGTTGCCCTGGTAAGCACAGATGCTCTGGGCTGCACTTGCTCAGAGACATTCAAGTCCCCAGCTTCGCTCCACCTTCGCAAGCACAGGGCTTTCTGCTGCCAAGATGCTGCATTCCAGTGAAGTCAGTTCATCACATTGGTTTGATCACTATACCAGGCACACACTTGACCATGAATACCCCCAGCTCCACTTGTGTCAGTAGCAATGCAAAGAAAAATAAAAGAGCAGGGATTTTTCCACATGAGCCCCTTGATGTTGTTAAGTGTCTGACTCATAGCAACCCTATATGGGGTTTCTGAGGAGGGGCTGGTGGGTTGGCACCACTGACCTTGTAGTTAGCAGCCCCATGCTTAGCCTACAAATGGTTTTATCTAGTTTTAAAGTTGATACAAATACAATGTAGAGTTCTAAACCTATTCTGACTTTGTTGTTGTTGTTGTTATGTGCCAAGGAGTCGGTTCCGACTCATAGTGACCATGTACAGGGTTTCCGAGGCTGTAAATCTTTAGTTCTTACATTTTCTGTGGCAAATGGAAACTTCCTATTTTAAAGAGAAAACAAAATGTGGAAAACTAACAGAGATCTTAATATTTTTTAAAATATGGGCGAATACCATCATGTGACATTGTAGGATCAACCTTGGACAGCAAACCACAGGTCGTCAGTTTAAACCCACCAGCCCTGTATGAGTCAGCACCGACTCAGCAGCACTTAACAACAACAACCATTATATGATTTTATCTTCTTTTCATGAAAATACACGCTTCAAATATATGGAGAGAAACACATGCGCTAAAGTCAGCATTTCTGAATATTGGACTAAAGTTATGTTTGTGGTCTGAAGTATAAAAACTATGAGTTCCTTCTGGGAAAATATTCCATATTTGACCTCTTCTTTGGGGATTGTTGGGTATCCTGTTTGTCTTTAGGGTTAGCAATAAAAGTAGTAAAGTACTGAACTACACAGCACTCAGGTTTGAGTCTGGGATGGGAAGGGGCAATAAATTACTTCAGCGTGAACCAGCCTTTCTGTAAAAATATCTGTGGTTTACACATCATTCAGAATCTGTGTGAGGGAACATAAGTGTTGTATGCTAATTGACCACTGCTATCTTCTTGGTCTTGTTCAGGTTGATGGGACAGAAGTCACGTGTCAGGTTGATTCATCTCAGAAGTCTGTTACCTGCAATGTGGGTTACCCTGCTTTAAAGAGGGAACAACAGGTATAACTATCATTTCATTCTCATATTCCTGTTCATCCCTCAACACTAGTGTTAACTCACTAACCTAACATTTAAGAATCATCATTTGATAAGTGCCACAAAAGAACTGATTCTATATTCAGAGGAAGTTATTTAATATCTGAATTTTTCTTTACGTGATTAATTGAAGTTGGAGTCCTGCTCCCCACTCACAGCATGTAATTCATTTCATAAATCACCCATGATCTGGAGTTTTTTTTTCCCTGAATATCTGATGAACATTATATGTGTATCAACTGTTCAACTCTGGTAAGCAAGTTTTAATCAGGACAGAGCTTTCAGATTCAAACATGTGTATGTGTGTCTGAGAGCTTGTTTATGTCAATTGAAAGTTGTTGTTGTTGTTGTTAAGTACTGTGGAGTTGGTTCCGACTCATCGTGACCCTGTACAGGGTTTCTGAGGCTGTAAATCTTTATGGGAGCACAAAACCTCATCTTTCTCCTGCGGAATGGCTGGTAGTTTCAAACTGCCGACCTTGAGATTAGCAGCCCGATTCGTAACCATACTGAAAGTTAAGACCTCCTAATTCTTCAGACGGGTCATGCTAAAATGAGGTAACAAATAAAGATACTATATACATTTGAAAGCTTCAAGTATATCAAATTCAGGATCAAATTGGGGTGAGTTTACTTCTATGAGGAACTTTTTTTTTTTTTTAATATTGGCATCATAGATTGATACACTTTTATTTTACATGTAGGTGACATTTACTATTAACTTTGATTTCAACCTACAAAATCCTCAGAATCTGGCATCTATCAGTTTCCAAGCCTTAAGGTAATGTATAATGAAGTTACAAGTTACTGATTGTTGACTTTTATACTTCCTTTCAAGTAATTTTCTAATGCTCTTTTCAACAGTGAAAGCCATGAAGAAAATAATGCAGATAACTTCGTCAGCTTCAAAATTCCTCTGCTATATGATGCTGAAATTCACTTAACAAGGTAGGTGAAGCAGTGGAATGTTTATTCTCATTTTTGTCACTTTTTGACACTGGGAGCCCCCATTCTCTTCCTGATGAAACACTAAGGCACAGGTCAGTAATGAGCCCTGAAAACCACTCAGGCATAGCTTCCAACAAGCCAGGCTGGAAACAGTAATGGCGGATTCTTTTATTCCCACCATATCACCGTAGCCTTTAAAAGCATGGCGTATGTAGATCATTGAATAGACCATCAAGCAAAACCAAAAGAGAAAAATAGCATCATGTCTAGAACCTGAGACACATAAGCAAGAAAGAAAAGAATGCTTCTATACTGAGTTACTTGTAGAGCAACACGCAGCCCAAATTATTATCTTTCCTGAAAATGTATTCAGTAGCTGCAGATTACAAAGGACTCTCCATTGCTAAAATACATGAGTGGAACAAATACACCCCCAAAATTGATATTGCCTGATTATTTCTTCTCCCCACCAGTTGTTCCTCAGAAACCCTATGCAAGGGTACTATGAGTTAGGACTGAGTCAATGGCACTTAGAGACAACTGCCACCTACACTGATTCTTCATCATCACAAATATTTGGTCTTAATACAGTCTTCTAATGATTCCACTCTTCCAACATGGCAGTTTTCTCAGATATTTTCACATGGCATAAATATAAAATTAATTTGACATCTTATCTATGTCTTTTTGTGACAACTTGATTCTAAGTCATTCTAAAATACTTTAAGATATACAATATAATATACTAGAATATATTAACTAATTTAGAAAGTGGTCTTACTAATGGTTATATTAGTTTCCTAGTATCGCTGTAACAAAAACGCCCCAAGTAGGTGACTTTGCAAAAGAGAAATTGATTTTCTTATTGTTCAGAAGGTTAGATGTTTAAATTTACTGCACCAGCTCTAAGGGAAAGCTCTCACTCTTTTGGTTATGGGGCAAGATCCTTGTCTCTGCCAGCATTTCTTGTTTTGTTTGTTGGTTTTTGTTCCCCACCCCCATCCCCCGCCACCACCACCACCACTGATCTCCGAATGGCAAGGTATCTATCTTGCCATATTTGTACTAGTTTGTCTGTGTCTATATTTCATCTTATATAACTCAGACATGATTAGGTTTAGATGATATGGCTTCATTAACATAGCAAAGAAAATCCTATCCCCAATCAGGATTTCATCTACAACTAGTGTTGTTAAGTGCCATCGAGTCAGTTCTTGCTCATAGTGACCCTGTATAGTGTTTCCAAGGAGCAGCTGGTGAGTTTGAACTGCCAACCTTGTGGTTCAAAGTCTAGTGTTAATCCTACAGTGTCACACCAAGAGTCCATTCATAGCTATGTTGTTGTTAAGTGCTGTTCAGTCAGTTCCAACCCATAGTGACCTTGTATAGGGTTTCCTAGGAGCCGTTAGTGAACTTGAACTGCTGACTTTGAAGTACAAAGCCAACTTTGTAATCCAGCACATTAACCCACAGCACCATACCAGGACTCTAGAAGCCATGTTGTTGTTGTTGTTGTTGTTAAGTGCCATCAAGTCAATTCCAACCCATAGCAACCCTGTATAGGGTTTCCAAGGTGCAGCTGATGAGCTTGAACCACCAACCTTACAGTTCAAATGACTGCAGTCTTATGCATTAACCCACAGCACCACAGTAGGACTCTTGGGAGTAAGAATTCTAACACATATTTTTGGGGACACCATTCAATCCATAGCAGTTCTCACACTAAGATCATTTGGAAGACAAAGGGGATAATTGATGCACACACAGGCAGAACTTCTTTTTCAAATTTGAATCAGTTTTTCCATGTTCATTATAAGACTGACAAAACATTGTTTCTTTTCATGTAAACTACCTTTACAAAGACCACATCTATTTGTCTAACTATGACATATTTTCCTTCTGAGGATTTGGAAAATATTTCTTTTTAAGACATAAGAAAAGAAAAAGACAGGGTTGCTGCAGAGAAACCAACAAACTATTCCAGAAAATATTTGGTTTAATATCTTTTAGAAACTGGAATCAATATCCCATAATTCAGATAGATTGTTTGGCAGAAATAAATGGAGAACATGGGTGTAGTGCTTCTCAGATTCCAACCCCCACACCTAAAGAAGCCGTCCTAATTGGAACCCAGGTTTAGGGGGTCCAGAAGTGGGTGAATGAATGGAGGAAGGGCTTACTTTCACACTGTGATCTGAGTAGTCCTGTGGGATTCTTCTGACCTGGCATGCCTTCACTTATTGACACACACTGATAACCCCAAAATCAGTCCAATGCCTCTAGGTCTAGTCTAATAAAACTTATAAATCTACTACCTTCAAGGAGGACTTCTGGTGTGGCACTGTAGGATCAACACTGGACTGCAAACCACAAGGCCAAAGGTCAAACCTACCAGCCATTCCTCAGAAACCCTATGCAGGGTCGCTATGAGTTGGAAGCAACTGAACGGCACTTAACAACAACAACAGCATCTTGAAAGAGGTCACTATAGTAGTGGAAATAGATGTGACCAACCCCAATTCAGATCCAAAGTCTAAGGTTAGCTTTGAGCTAGAAAAGGATAGAGAGAAGTATAAGGAAAAAATCTATTCCTTGTTTCACAAGCCACTGACAAATATTTCAGAATGTAGTACTCAGTATGCTGTAGGATAAGCACTGGACCAAAAGATCAGTTTGAAGAGCAAGTTTGGTGGTTGAAACCCACCAGTTACTCCTTGGAAAGCCTATACAGGTTTGCCATGAGTTGGAACCGACTCAACAGCACTTAACAACAACAACAAACATAGGCATCCACTAATGAATATTTCAGAATGTAATACTCAGTACCCTAACACTATATTTCAACCATATTGAGTAGAAAATCTTCTGCCTTGTACTGGACATGTGGTCAACAATTCATTCAGTCAATCATATGAACTACCAGTCAACAGAACAACAAAGATTCCACTATCATTTCTAATCTGACAATTTATAAATATATAACACAGAGAATTCCAGAAGAACAATGATGAATGGGTATGTTTTCAAAGGAAATTGTTTCTGTCTTAGAAATGTATACTGGACCAAAAACCTATAATGAGCTTTTTTTTTTTTTTTCATTTAGTGGATTTTTACCTAAATGTAAAGCATTTTACTTGTGATCTAAGCTAGAAGACATTTAAATAAAAAGGAATGTCAAATTTCAGGAGCTACAGCACAACTAACATACTTCACTTTATATCTCCAAACAGATCTACCAGCATTCATTTTTATGAAGTTTCTTCAGATGGTAAAGTTCCTTCCACCATGCATAATTTTGAAGATATTGGTCCAAAATTCATCTTCTCTCTTAAGGTTGGCAAACTTTAATAAGGATGGGAAATCAGGAGGAAGGGGAAAGGGAAAAAGTGGATCTGGAAAGCTGAAAATAGCTTTAAAAGATGTTCAAATTTGAGTAGGGGGAAAACATAAAATCAAGCATACTGCTGTATACTCTATTCCAACTCGTAACAACCCTGTATAGTATTTCCTAAACTGTAAATCTTTATAGGAACAGAAAGTCTCATCCTTCTAAGTTTGACCATCTAGTGAATTCAACGTCTGGCTTTGAGGTTAGCAGTTCAGTTCTTATCCTTCAGTATCACTAGGGCTCCTTAGACTCACCAGGAGTGCTTATTAAAATATAAATTGTTGGGCTCATCCCCAGAGATTTATATCAGTATATCCTGGTTAGGAATAAAAATATCTGCTTCTAGCAGATTTTCAGGTAATGCTGATGTTGCTGGTACTTTGAGAACCAGCGAGATAGCCCATATATTAATAAATAACCAGAATTTGTACATAGTTATGTGTTCTAGGTAAGAAATACTTGATAAATTTTGAAAGCAAATAGCCAAAATTAGTGAACAGAGCTTTGTTGTTGTTGTTAGGAGTCATCAAGTTAATAACAACTCTTAGCAACTTCACTGTGTATTCCATCTGGTAAAGTCCATGTGTATAGTCATCTTTTATGTTGTTTAAAAAAGGTATTTGCAATGAACACATTACTGGTCTTGCAAAATTCTACTATGTGATCTCCAGCATCATTTGTTATCAATCACCGTGGCAATATTTTCCAACAATTGATCCTTCCTCTGTTTCCAACCTTTGCATTCTAACCAGAAGTAATTATCAATGCATCTTGATTGTAGTTTTATTTATTTTTAATTTCAAACTGAAGAAGTTGATAGAATTCTTCAATTTCATCATCTCTGACTTTAGTGGCTGGTGCACAAATTTGAATAGTAATGGTAGTAACTGGTCATCTTTGTAGGTTTATGGTTATTATCTTATCGTAGACAGCATTATATTTGAAGATAGATCTTAAAGAGTTATTTTTGATGATGAATGCAACATCATTCCTCTTCAAATTTGTCATTCCTGGCATTGTACACCATATGATTACCAAGTTCAAAATGTTTAATACTAGTCCTTATCAACTCACTAATGCCTAGGCTATCAATATCTTTATATATTCTATTTCATTTTTGACAACTTCCCAATTTTCCTAGATTCATGCTTTGTACTTTCCATGTTCTGATTAGTAATGGATGTCTGCAGTTGTTTCTCCTCATTTTGAGCTGTGCCCTACCAACAAAGGAAAGTTCTGGAAGCTTTACTCTATTCGTGTCATCATGGTCAGCTCTACTTTGAGGAGGTAACTCTTCCCCAGTTGTTCTGAGTGCCTTCCAGCCTGAGAAGCTCATCTTTTGGGATTATATCTTACAGTGTTCTGGTGCTATTCATCATGTTTCAGTATTCAATATTCTGGTCCTATCTCATAGTCTTCCACTGCTATTCGTAAGGTTTTCAGTTGCTAAAAATTCAGAAGTAGCCTGACTCTTCTTCCTCCTAATTTGTGGTAGTCTGGAAGCTCAGCTGAAACCTGTCCACCATGAGTGTACCCTGCTGATATTTAAGATAGCAGTGGCATAGTTCCCATCATCACAGCAACATGTAAGCCACCACAGTATGACAAACTGATGCATGGAATAATGCCAACAGAGCTTTATGGGAAGTGTATTACTGTGGCTAAGTCTTTGGACTTTTAATTATTGAAACGTACCATATTCACAAATTCTTAGTGAAGACCATTTGCAATAGAGCACAGACCCGGCTCTGCTCTAGTGTCATGTTCAGCAGGCATTTTAGTCACAGAATAAACAGGACACCACCACTCGTCTGTTAGTTTGTGATATTGTGGTGACTTGCATGCTGCTATGATGCTAGAAGCTACACCACCGGGGTCAAATACCAGCAGGGTCACCCATGGTGGATAGGTTTTAACTCCATACCTTCCACCAAAACAAGACCAGGGGCAGACTTTGGAACAGACCATCAATTGCTCGTATGCAAGATGAAAGAAATTTAAACAAGTCCACAAGAGCCAAAATATGATCTTGAACATATCCCACCTGAATTTAGAGATCATCTCAAGAACAGATTTGATACGTTAGATACTAACAACTGAAAACAAGTAGAACTGTGTTATAACATCAAGAACATCAAACAGGAAGAAAGCAAAAGGTCCTTTAAAAGAGAGGAAAAGAATCAAAAAACAAAATGGATATCACAAGAGACTTTGAATCTTGTTGTCCAGCCTAGAGATGTTAAAGGGAGTGGAAGAAATGAGAAAGTGAAAGAACTGACCAGGAAATTTCAAAGGGAAGCTCAAGAAGACAAAGTCAAGTATGAAAATGAAATGTGCAAAGATCAGGAATTAGAAAACCAAAAGGGAAGAACAGGCTCAGCATTTCTCAAACTGAAAGAACTGAAGAAAAAAATTCAAGTTTCAACTTGAAATATTGAAGATTTCTATGTGTAAAATAATGAATAACGAAGAAAGCATCATAAGAAGATGGGAGAAATACAGAGACTTACAGTACCAAAAAAGAAATGGTAAATATTTTATCCATTTCAAGAGGAAGCTGGACTGGGCAGAGTTTTGTTCTATAGTGCATAGAATTACTATGAGTTGGTTGCTATGTTAGGTGACTTGGTGTCACCTAACAACAATAACAAACAGGACAGTAAACATCCTCATTTGTTAAGATTCCCCATGATTAGACTATCAACCTAGTGATCACATCCAAGTGTGTCTCATTTAGCCCCACAGAAGAGAAAAGCCAGAAACCCCTAACTCCCAGAGTTAACATATCAACACGACAGCCATGTCTCCATGCCAAACTGTATATACAGTGAGCAAATAATGGGAAGGGTTAATCCACATGGAAGGCCTCCTGCTTTCAGTGGTGCTTGTTCTTTGTCCTTGTTTGTTGTTGTTGTTGTTGTTAGGTGTCATCAAGTCGGTACCGACCCATAGCGACCTTATGCGCAGAAGAAAGAAACACTGCCCGATCATAGGCTAACCTCACGACTGTTGCCACAGTTGAGTCCATCGATGCTGCCACTTGGCTAATCCATCTCTTTGCGGGTCTTCCTGTTTTTCTCTGACCCTCCACCTTACCAAACATGATATCCTTCTCCAGTGACTGGTCCCTCATGACAACTATGTCCAAAGTATGAGAGATGAAGTTTGGCCATCTTGGCCTCCAAGGAGCACTCTGCCTGCACTTTTTCCAAAATGGATCTATTGGTTCTTTTGGCAGCCCATGGAATTTCAATATTCTCCTCCAATACCATAACTCAAAAGCATCAATTCTTCTATAGTCTTCCTTATTCACTCTCCAGCTTATGCATACATA